TCTTGGGTAAAGGCACTTGTCAAACCTCATGCTCTGAGTTTGATCCCCAGAAACCTCATCATGGAAGGAAAGAACCAACTCTCACATTGTGTCCTCTGACTTCCATATATACTGTGCTGTGTGCATATGTGCATCCACAGAACTCAATAAATAAAGTTTAAAACACTATAAAAAAGAAAACTAGTTTTGAGATTGGAGAAATTACTATAGCTGATATTTTTATATTAGAAAGAAGATGACAGTTTCTAAAAATGGGAAGAAATATGGTTACAGAACAGACGCCAAGGAGAAAAACTTTAGCTTGTGAGTTTATTTTTATGGCCATAGGTATTTATAAAACTGTTGTGATTAGGAAATAAACATATTTTCAATAATTGACTTTTAATAAAACTATAAATTACCACCAAAATCTTTCTTTTGATCTTTTTAGATGAAAAATCAAAATCAAAATAAAACCCCACCAATATCAAAGAGTTTTGTGTAAAAGTGGTAATTAAAACCAAAGGTAAACATTAATGAGTAATGGTGAACATTCATAAAAAGTTCTGTGCTGTGTCCAAAGTGAGAAGTAAAGATCCACTAATGATCCCTAACTTAACCTCAGGAAAAAATAGAACAATAAAAAACCTAACCAGGTCAAAACCAAACCCAAACTGACCCTCAGTCTATCAGAACCAATGGATGAAATATTCTTTTCTTGATGTGCCAAGGCCTAATTTGTCTCAAAGGCAGCAGACAACGGTATTTCCTTCTTGTGTTCTGTTCATTTCCTTTTCTCCCTTTGCCCTTGTGGTACAGGATGGTATGTTCATGTTTTTGTTGCTTAAGCCTGATAAGTGTTTGTTGAAGTACTTTGGGTAAACTAGTGAGTGAGTCTTCACATGTAGTATTATTTCTATGGAAATATATTGTTCTTTAAAAAATTACCCCTTATTTGTGTGGACAGTTCTGGAAGTCAGAGGAAAACTTGTGGGAGTTGGTTCTCTCCTACTGTGTGGGGCCCAGAGATTGAAGTCAGGCCATCAGGTTTGAGAGCAGCACCTTTACCCACTGAGCCATCTCACTGGCTTCAGACATTGATTTCTAAAATATTGATAAGATATCATTTTGAAGCACAGCCAACTAGATGTTGAAAGCTGAGTGCCCTGCCAGCTCCCTGATCCCTGTGAAGAGTTTTCCTATATTGTGATTTTTAAAAGTTATTTTAGTTGATGATGCTGATGATATATCATTTGACAATGTCTTTCCCTTTATATCTGATAAAGTGCCTTTTAATCTTTCTGGAAACAAAACCTTTGTAACTATTAGTCTATCAGAAGTTTCAGCCAATACCTGAATAATTTGAAGGACTTTGGGAGCACATTCCCCTTAGCCTAGAGGCAGGAGGGAGATTCTAGACCCTACTCCAAATGACTTGACAGATTTTGATGATCCCTCCTGGAAGGCCTCCCCCTCCCTGTGGAATGTGTGGGGTGGGATGTAAGGGGGGTCAAGGGGTAGGGAACTGTGATCAATATGTAAAATAATAAATATATAAAATAAAAAGGAAAATATAAACCAACAAAAACCAATTTTTTGCCTGCTAAAAAGCTAAATGAAATAAAACACAAAAGTCAGTTTTCATTAGAAAGCATTCAGATATCTGTATTACTTTCTATCTTAAATTATGTATTTTAATGTTGCTGTTCTGTTGGCTTTTGAAACAAATATGCAGATGTCTGATGGAGGATGGAGTTGCGCTGTTGGAATCTAGCATTTGGGGCTTTGCCTTCTATGTTTTCATCCACACCAGTGTTTCACATGAGTCTGTTGTAGCTTCCATGCTACACATTCTTTTTTGTGTCGTTTGTTCTTGATGTGTTTTGAGAGAAGGGGGTTTGCTGAAAGAACATGAAAGAAGTCGCCCTTAAGACTGTTTACACATTGCTCCATCCAAGTCCATGCTGCCTGCGGATTGCAAAGTGGGAGTAGTCAACTTCAAAGCACATCTGGCTGTTGTTACAAAATCAGAAAATAGATTGCTTATTTTCCCTAAATAGACTCAAGAACAAGCTTTTCTTTGAATATTTCCCAAACTCAGTGTATTATAAATGAATAAGAACAACGGAATATTGTTACCAGTTTCACTGTTTTTTGTTGTTTTTATGAATTAGAATAGACATTTTTCTTTATTCATCAGCTTGAAAAAGTAATTTATAATAATAGAAGCCCTTAACTTCTTTATTTAATGCTTTTAAAGATGAAGGGGGTGGAATAGAACTTCTGTATAGTTGAAATGCTTGCATTGTAATTAACTAGACCGATATTTTGTATCCCGCTTATAAATGTAGAGCTGAACAAAAATAAGTCACAGATGGTTTCCTTGGCTTTTGGTTTAAATCTAAACTTAATTAGAACTTGAGCATCTTTGAGACTTGTTTTTCCTCTTCCTGTTACTCCTTATATTTAATTCAGCTTCATGAGTTAGAGTTGGGTGTGTGCGATGGTGTGTCTTTGAAGAACTCACTTTCTGTGGTCCCCAAATGATGAAGAATGCTAACTTCCTTTTCACACATATGTGTTCAGACAGCAGATATTTGTTGAATTTACTTTGTTGCTTCCTAGAAGGTTGCTGCCTGTATTTAAAGATCTGCATGTGTGCAGTTTGGTACCTCCTGCTCTGGCATAGTGCTTTAGCCACTCTTCCTACTGCACTTAGCAAATGCTCTGTTATATTCCTGTATCTTCTCATGATGTTTCATATCTTAAGCACTGACATCGGACTTCGACACAGTCAGGCTGTAGTGCTGCCAGACATATGGTCATGAGGACTTTGTACTTTTTGCTAATTCTTCTGGGGGTTGGATATTTATTTGGCTACTTTCCCATGGATCTTAGAATTACTATTTGATTTCTCTTCATTGTGAGGCAGGCGCTTGATGGGCGTTTTTATTTGGTTCCATTGTTGGTCTGTGTGCAGGACAAGGAGGAGAGAAGTTTAAGTTTAGATGGTTTTTAGTACCTTTATGGGATCTAGTGTCTAGGTGAGGAAAACCATGTGCATATTTTCCTGTTCTGCAGACTAAAATGCATATATTCCTCAGATCCTGTCTGCTGTTATACTAGACTCTTTTGCTATTTTAAATTCTGTTTAAGTTTAGTCCTTCTGTTTTCTTCAATGGATTCTATATTTATCTTTGCCTTTTAGGTTAAATTGATCATAGATATCTTCACAATTATATAAAATTTAGCTTTTTGAAAACTGGCTAGGATTTTTGAAGATTGAATTCAATAAGATACATATGAAAAGCCTTGTCACTTAATCCCAACTGTGCAACCCAGGGTGAGAACCACCCCTTCTGGAATCATAAAGTTCTTGTTTGTTTTGTGGTTATTGGTGGAGTTAAGTTGGAAGTTTATGATGTGAAGAAATTGGACTTTTCTGGTAGCGACTTTAAATTTTTATTTTATTGTTAATGAAATAGTTGGCATAGAAATCATAAAGAATTTAGCATAAAGCAATTCAAGAAACCTTGACTAAAAGGCATTAAATATGTGTTAGATAGCAGAGGTGCAAAGATGTGTGTGAACATACTGCTCAACACTCAAGGTATTATGTAAGGGCCATGAAAGTGAACCCAGGATGCTGTAGGAGCTGCTGAGAGTTGGGTCCCGATGGAGTTCCTCTCTTCCTCTTTTCTAAGAATACCATTGGGCACTGGGTGTTAGGAATAGACTGGATAGTGTGGCAATCACAGTCTTTGTTTTTTGTATCCACATTTTTTTTTTTCTTGGAGAAAATAGGTGCTAGGTCATTAAAGAGGTAAGCATCAAAGGTGGCACTAGCCTGGTAGGAGTTAATTTTCCTGAGGAAAAAAACTCAGTGAGTCTTGAAGAAGGTGTGAGAATGTTTGCAGCTTTTTGCAGGCAGTGCTTGCAAGGTAGAACAAGTTATTTGGCACTCCTGGAATATGGATTAAGTTGGGGGAATAGTGAAGCTGAAAAGAGATTTAGGGAGAATCTCAAAGGGACTTCATGTCCTCATGTAACATGAATAATAAAATCCCAGAGACAGATATTGGGGTTCAAGCTGAAGATCAGAAAAGCAAGCCACAAGCTCTTTCCTCTACCTCAGGCTTAATTGGGTGATCCTGTCTCCACAAATCCTTAGAGGCAATGCGCTTTCTACAAACGGTCAGAAGCGATATGCACTGCTCTCCACCAAGCCTCAGACTGCATTCCTCTGAGTTCCCGTCTCCTCCCATCTTATATTCCTCTTTCTACCCAAACTTCCGTCTCTACCTCCTTAGATAGCACTGGGATTAAAGGTGTGTGACTCCAATTTCTGGGATCACCTTTGTGTGAATTGTTTCTCTTTTAGACTGGATCAATTTCGTGTAGTCAGTGTGGCCTTGAACTAACAAGAGATCCATCTGCCTTTGTCTCTCGAGTCCTGAGATTAAAGGTGTATACCACCACTGCCTGGCCTCTATGGCTAGCTAGTATGGCTGCTTGGGATTAAAGGTGTGTATCACCACTGCCTAGCCTCTATGGCTTGTGGCTAGCTTTGCATTTTGATCTCCAGTGCCTTTATGAAGTCATAAACAATATATCACCACATTCTCATTTACTCTATGATTGACAGTTAAAGAGTCATGTCTCCAGTATGTCTGGAGGTGGGGGTGAGTGGGTGGGTGTAGTGACTACATCAAGATTTAAAGAATGGATACATGTATGCTTAGAGGATTTGGGGGGTATAAACAAACAAGCAGAGGGGCACAAGTTCTGGTGGCATAGTCTTTCAGGGTTTGGGAACTATGAAATGTGGAGTGAAGAGCACTGGATAAGAGTGGACATTGTGGGAGAGGGCCACGAAGGTGCAATTAGACACAGAAAGACAGTCTGCTGGAATGTATGTAAATACTATAAAAATGAACTAAATATTAAAATATGCAGAAGATATTTCACATAGAAAATTCAAAAAACTCCAGGATTGATGTCTTTATTTATAATTTTTTCAGATAGAAAATCCTCGATACCTGAGACAGAAGCCTTTTCCAGTTTCTCTGGTAGGTGATGATTTCCCTGGGCTCTTTGTGGGGATGGGTATTTTTAAATAAATATAAAATTGTTACAATATAAAATAATGCAAGTCAGCATTAGGAAGAATAATAGTAATTTTAATCCTATTGCTTAGAAGTGGATGAATCACTTTTTTTTCCTCCAAAGCTAACACTATTTTGAAATGAGTTTCAGAGACTTTATTAGTTTACTTTTAAAGAGTTGATAAACTTGTCTTGGGAAGTTTTCAATAACTTTTGCTGATTCTACAGATAACTCCAAAAGTCAGCCTGAGAAAGTCCAGCAGTCTTCATGACGATCATTTCCTCTCTCGAATGCATGAGAAGGAGGTAGGCTCAAGTTATTTCTCATGTGCCTTGTAGTCAGAGCAGCTGATCCTGTGCAATAGGAGTTTTGGACTCTGTAGATGTGGTACACAGGAGGAAGACAGACTCTAGTTCTTCTGATGCAGACCAGGTCTGGCTTGTTAAAGATTTTAATGTGTGTCTCCCATCTTGTATGCCCCAGCTCTACTCCACTATGAGGGAAGGCTGTGATGAAGGATTTTTTCCTAGCTTCAAATTCTGATGCTTAGGAGACAGAGGCAGTGGCAGTTTTTAAAATGAGTGTGTTTGACCTCAGTGAATCCATGCACCCACCCTCTCTATCTGCCTACTTGTAATTTATCTTTTTAATATTACCATTCTTACTGTTTATTGCTTTTTATTTATTTTACAACAAGACTGCTGTTTTCCTTCCTTCCTGTACTCCTAGAACTCCCCACCTCTCCTCTGCCCTCCGCCCATCCATTCATCCTCTATTTATATTAGGAGGAAGGTAGGCCTCCTATGGATAGCAACTAAACATGGCATATCAAAGTTGAAGCCTGACTGAGGCAACTCAGCATGAGGAAAAGGGTGCCAAAAAACAGAGAAAGTGTCAGAGACAGCCCCTGTTCCTACTGATAAGAGTCCCACATGAAGACCAAGCTACAGGCTTGGCAGTGGTGGCACATGCCTTTAATTCCAGCACTCAGGAGGCAGAGGCAGGCAGATCTCTATGAGTTTGAGGCCAGCCTGGTCTACAAAACTACACAAAGAAACCCTATCTCAAAACACCAAAAAATACATACAGAGGGCCTAGGTGGTCATTCCCTTGCAAGCTCCTGGTTGACGGTTCAGTATCTGTGAGCTCCTATGATCCCAGGTCAGTTGATTCTGTGTGTTTTCTTGTGGTGTCTATGATTATTCTGGCTCCTACAAGCCTTCCTCTCCCTCTTCTGTGGGATTTACCAAGGCCCACCTAATGTTTGGCTGTGGGTCTGCATATCTTTCCATCAGTTGCTGGATGAAGCCTCTCTGATGACAGTTGGGCTCAGCACCAATCTATGAGTATAGCAGAACATCATCAGGAATCATTTCCCTGATGTTTTGTCAGTGATGTTTGGTTTTATTCTAAGTCTCCTGGCTGTCCAGCCTCTAGGTCCTAGCCTTCCAGTAAGTGTCAGGGGTTGTCTTTCTCTTATGGCGTGGGTCTCAAGATGGACCACAATCATTGGTTGGCCACAATTTCTGTGCCACCTATACCCCAGCATATCTTGTAGGCAGGACAGAATGTAATTTGAAGGTTGTGTGGCTGGGTTGGTGTCCCAGTCCCTCTACTGTTAGTCTTGCCTGGTACAGGAGATGGCCAGTTCAAGCTCCATATCCCCCATTGATAGAAGGCCTAACAGGAGCCACCTTCATATATTCCTGGGAAATTCCATTGCATTAGGTTTCTAGCTCATCTGGAGATGCTTTCCAATTCTAGTACTCTCTCCCTCCATCCCTCCCCATTCCTCCTGTCCCTGTCCCCCCCCCCATCCCCTCTTCACCTGTGATGTCTATTCTACTTCCCCTTCCCAGGGGGATTGTTATGTTCCTCTCCTTGAGGCCTCCTTGTTTCTTAGCCTCTCTGGGTCTGTGGATCGCAGCATGGTTATCCTTTATAGCTAATACCCTCTTATGTGTGAGTACATACCATGTTTGTCTTCCTGGTTTCCTCACTCAGTATGATTTTTTCCCCTAGTTTCATCCATTTGCTTTCAGATTTCATGATGTCAGTGTTTTATATAGATGAGCAATATTCCATTGTGTAAATATACCACAATTTCTTTATTGATTCTTTGGTTGAGGAACATTGAGGCTGTTTCCAGTTTCTTGAGGATTATGGCTAAAGCTGCTATGAACATAGTTGTACAAAATTCTTTGTGGTATGATGGAGCATCTTTTGGGTACATGCCCAGAGTGGTATAGCTGGATCTTGCAGTAGATTGATTGCCATTTTTCTGAGAAACCACCATATTGATTCTTCAAGTGGCTGTACAAGTTTGCAATCTCACCAACAATGAAGGAACATTCCTCTTGCTCCACATTCTTACCAGTATGAATTGTCAGTTGTGTTTTAATCTTAGCCATTTTAACAGGTGTAATGCGGAATCTCAGACTTGTTTTAATTTGCATTTCCCTGATAGCTAAGGATGTGGGACATTTCTTTAAGTGCTTCTTGTCCATTTGAAATTTCTCTATTGAGAATTTTGTTTATATCTGTACCCTATTTTTATTGGATTATTTGGTTTATTGATGTCTAGTTTCTTGAGTTCTCTATATATTTTGGAAATTAGCCCTTCATCTGTTGTAGGGTTAATGAAGATATTTTCACATTCTATAGGTTGCCGATTCGTCTTACTGATAATGTTCTTTGCCTTATAGAGAAGCTTTTCAGTTTCATGAGGTCCGAGGTCCGATTTATTGTCAATCTTAGTGCCTGTGCTTTGGTGTTCTGTCAGGAAGCTGTCTCCTGTGCCAATGTGTTCAAGGCTATTCCTCACTTTCTCTCTATCAGGTTCAGTATATCTGTCCTATGTTGAGGTCTTTGATCTGCTTGGGCTTTTGTGCAGGGTGATAGATATGGATCGATTTGTATTCTTCTAAATGCAAACATAAAGTTAGACCAGCACCATTTGTTCTTCTTCTTTCTATTGTATAATTTCGCTTCTTTGCCAAAAATCAGGTGTCCATAGGTGTGTGAATTTATGTCTGGGTCTTCAGGTTGATTCCATTGATCCACCTGTCTGCTTTCATGCCAATACCATGTGATTTTTAGTACAGCAGCTCTGTAGCAGAGCAATCAGGGATGGTAATTCCTCCAGAAGGTTTTCTTTCTTCCTTCCTTCCTTTCTTCTTCTTCTTTTTTTTTTTTTTGTTTTGTTTTTGTTTTATTTTGTTTTGTTTTCAGGATTGCTTTAACTATCCAGATTTTTTTCTATATGAAGTTGAGTATTGTTCTTTTAAGGTCTGTAAGGAATTTGTTGGAATTTTGGTGGAAATTGCATTGAATCTGTAGATTGCTTTTGTAAGATGGCCATTTTTATTATGTTAATGCTATTGATACCTGAACATGGGTGTTCTTTCCATCTTCTGATATTTTCTTCAATTTCTTTCATCAAAGACTTGAAATTCTTGTACAGGTCTTTGACTTGCTTGGTTAGAGTAATATTTATATTGTAAAGGGTTTCCCTAATTTCTTTCTCATCCCATTTATTGTTTATGTACAGGAGGGCTACTGACATTTTTTTTTTAGTTTATTTTGTATTCAACCACTTGACTAAAGGTGTTTATCAGCTGTAGGAGTTCTCTGATAGAATTTCTGGCATCATTTATGTATAATATCATATTTGCAAATAATGGTACTTTGACTTCTTCCTTTCCAATTTGTATCCCCTTGGTCTCCTTTAGTTGTCTTATTGCTCTAGCTCATAGATATAGAGTGGACAGCCTTGTCTTGTCCCTGATTTTAGTGTCATTGCTTTAAGTTTCTCTTCATTTAATTTGATGTTGGCACTCTATATATTGTTTGTATTATGTTTAGGCGTGCTCCTTATATCCCTGTAAGACTTTTATCCTGAAGGGGTGTTAGATTTTGTCAAAGGCTTTTTCAGCATGGAATGAAATGATCATTTTTTTCTTTCGGTTTATTTATATGTAGATTACATTGACAGTTGCTTTGTTTGTTTGTTTTTAAAATATGTTGAACCATCCCTGCATCTCTGGGATGAAGTCTATTTGATCATGGTGGATGGTCCTTTTGATATCTTCTTGGATTTGGTTTGTGAGTGTTTAATTGAGTATTTTTCATCAATGTTCATGAGGGATATTTATCTGTAATTCTTTTTGTTTGTGTGGTTTGGTATTGGGGTGACTGTGGCCTCATAAAATGATTTTTGCCATGCTCCTTCAGTTTCTGAATAACCTGAAGAATATTGCTCTTAGCTCTTCTTTGAAAGTCTGGTAGAATTCTGCATTGAAATGAAATGATTTGGTCCTGGCCCTTTTTCGGTTGGGTGACTTTTAATGACTGCTTCTATTTCCTTAGGGATTATAGGTCTATTTAGATTGTAGATTGTTTATCTGATCTTGATTTAATTTTTGTAAGTAGTATTTTTTTTTTTTTTTAGATTTTTCAATTTTGTGGAGTACAGGTTTTTTTTTTTTTTTTTTTTTTTTTTTTTTTTTTAAGTATGACCTAATGATTCATTGGATTTTCTTAGTGTCTATTATTATGTCCCCTTTTCATTTCTGATTTTGTTGATTTGGATAGTCTCTCTCTGCTTTTTAGTTAGTTAGTATATCTTGTTGACTTTCTCAAAGAACCAACTTGTTGTTTCATTGATTCTTTATAGTGTTCTCTATTTCTATTTTATTTATTTCAGCCCTGAGTTTGATTATATCTTACTGTCTATTCCTGCTTGTTCTAGAGCTTCCAGGTGTGCTGTTAAATCATTAGATCTGCTAATATTGAGTTATGAGTATTGTGTTATTGAGTATCTGTTAGTCATGAGTCATGCCATTAATATGAGATTTGTCTAATTTCTTTATGAAGGTACTTAGTGCTATGAACTTTCTTCTTAGCACAACTTTCATTGTGTCCCATAAGTTTGGATATGTTGTACATTTATTTTATTGAATTCTAGGAAGTCTTTAATGTCTTTCTTTGTTTCTTCCTTGATCCAGTGATCACTCAGTAGAGAGTTGTTCAGTTTTCATAAGTTTGTAGGCTTTCTATTGTTTCTGTTGTTGTTGAAGTCCAACTTTACTCATGGTGGTTTGATAGGATACATAGGGTTACTTCAGTTTTTTTGTGTTTTTTGAGACTTACTTTGTGACTGAGTAGGTGGTCAGTTTTGGAGAAGATTCATCCCATGATGTGCTGAGAAAAATGTATATTCTTTTGTGTTTGGGTGAAATGTTTTGTACATATAGTAATCCATTTGAATCATACCATCTGTTAGCCATTATTTCTCTCTTCAGTT